CTTTTATCCCCTAGGCTGGTGATTCATATATGCTGCACCTTTAAAATTATTCATCTTATCATCATGTAGGAAGCCCCCTCTCCTAAAGAATGGAATATTTTGGAAATATTAAAAAGGCAGGATAAAATATTTCCCCTAAAGAAGAAATAACACGTCTTAAGGGAGGCAGAAACCAGTCCCAGTTACCCTGCCCCAAGCAGAAACTGAGGAGACCAGTTGCTTTAGAAATGCAAGTTTGGTAATCCATCCAGAAAGACTAGGTCAAGACAGAAACTCAGATAAGCAACAAACAAAAGGTTGACAAAATTAGCTCAAACAAGCACGTAGGATTTGTATTTTCCATTTTGCCTATAGAGCCAGCCATGACCCACATAGGAATCTGACAAAAGCCAATAGAATATTAAAAGACATGTTCTTGTACAGGAACAGGAAGCTCAAATACAAAGCCCTAAGAAGGTATAAAACCCACCTACTCTCAACTCCATTTTGACAGCTGCCCAGAATCACAAGTGGTTGGTGGTTCTGCTTCATCAATAAACATTTCTTTCCAATCAGCCTCCATGTTTCCAGTGTTTTTCTCCCAGCTTGGAACTGAACAAGATGGATTTTACATCCTCTAAACATACATAATATATTCTCAGCTATGAATGGGAGACATGAAAAGCAAATTTTCATAATAAATTCTGTCCCAACAATAGATAATTTCTAATTTTACTGAAACTTCTGCCAATCTTTTGTATTCAGATTACACAATCCACATGTTCAGAGCCACTAAAGGTCACATCCATTTCTTATGATTGTCCAAAAAAATGCTTCTTGCAAGAAACATCCATGTTTGAAACACACAATGGATGTACTGGTATGAAGGAAAGCAATTCAGGACATGGTTGCTTTGTGTGCTTCAGTATTTTTCATTGCTTATTTATTTTACTTATTTCTTGGTCTTCCATGTGGAAATCAGCATGGTTCACGCATATGTCCATAGCTCTTTTTATCCAGGCAGTCAATAGGCCCAGTCTATACTGCATGAACAGCACCTGCTTCCCCAAAGTGAAAAGTCAAATTATGTCCCAATTAGGTAATGAAAATGCAAGGCAGGTATGGGAATTCAGACAAAATCCTGATTATTTGGCCAGGGAAACCTCTGGGGTGCCTGCTTCTCACAGTTTCCAAGCCTGGCTGAAATCCAATCTTATAGCAAGGCGAAAGGACTTGGATGACTGGAGATATGGTGGACTCATAGGAAGTAGTTTCTCGTTTCACCATGAATTATCTATATTTGGTGTAATTATCCATGCTTACATCACCAGGAAAAAAACATTAGAATTACATTACATTATCTGAATGTAGATTATTTGGATGCTTAAATTAAGAACCAGATTATACTGTCAGCAGTTCATCCAGACATTCTACCAAGCAAAGTTGTCTTTTCATAAATCAGAATCTTTTATTCATGTAACTTAGTGTAAGCCAGTGGTTGGCAAACTGTGGCTCGTGAGCCACATGTGGCTCTTTGGCCCCTTGAGTAATGCTCTTCAGAGGTGGTATTCAGTATTTGAGACTACTCTAATCTACTCTTTCCCAACAGACCTCCTACAGGATCTGCCTACAGGACGAGGTAAGCACTGAGCCCCCAGTGCCCGGCCCTGGCCCTGGGCTGAACCCCCAGCATTCCTTCCCACCACCCGGCCTCGTCCTGGGCTTTTGGGGCCTTCCAGAGGCCATGGCCTCCAGTCCGGGGCCTCGCATAGCCAGCCAAGCAGCGGCAATCTCTTGCGCCATGTTGCTGAGGCCCCCGCTGTACTTTCCCACCGCCTGGCTTCATCCGGGCCTTTGTGGAGCCTCTGGCAGCCATGGCATAAAGCCCAGGCCTCATGCAGCTGGCCAAGCAGCAGTGATCACTTGCCCCCATGCTGCCGAAACCCCCGCCTCACTTTCCCACTACCCGGCTTTGTCCTGGCCTTTGTGGAGCCTCCGGAGGCCATGGATTCCAGCCCAGGGCCTCGCGTAGCCGGCCAAGCCACTGCAATGGCTTGCACCACATTGCCGAAGGCCCTGGATCTTCTTCCTGCTGCCTGGTCTTGCCCCGAGTTTCTGAGCTGCTGCAATCGCTTCTAGGCCACTACGATCACTTCCAAGCCATCACGATCACCCCCCATCCTCTCAACAGCTTCTAAATGCCCTCAGAGGTCCTTGCTGGCCAGGCTAGAGCCCATAGGCTCCCACCTCCCACCTCCAGCCTCCTTCAGATGCCTTCTCCCAATTCCCGAACTGCTGCTGTAAACTTGTCTTCTGCCTTGCTTGTGCTGCATCCAGCTCCTAGGTGAACAACTGATTCTGCCTGCCTGCTTTCTTCAATTGGGTAAGTAAGTGGCAGGGGTCTTCAAACTTGGCAAGTTTTAAGACTTGTGGACTTCAACTCCCAGAATTCCTGAGCTACCATGACTGGTAGCTTCTGGGAGTTGAAGTCCACAAGTCTTAAAGCTGTCAAGTTTGAAGAACCCTGATTTTTTTTAAAAAAAACAGTGTGTTAATTTTTTTCCTTAAAAAAATAGTCATTTAAAATTTGGGAAATTTTAGCTGCTTTTCTATTTTTAGAAAGCAGCTGCTTTGTGAGGTTGTCATTGTGTGTGTGTGGAACTTCTTTTAAATTGTGTGAAATGTTATTAGATCGATGAAACAAGTATACAAGACAAGTGTGGATGGGAGAGTTGGAAGGGGTCAGCCTCAGCAAACGTACCTCAATCAGATTAAGGATGTTTTTAGCAAAAGCCAGCATAGGAGTACCCTAATTAAGTTAATAACAATGTACCTACCTATATAGTTTAAGTTTAAAAAAATTGGCTGTCAAAAGAAATTTCAATCATTGTACTGTTGATATTTGGCTCTGTTGACTTATGAGTTTGCTGACCACTGGTGTAGCCTAGAGAAATAGCAATAGCACTTAGACTTATATACCACTTTATAGTGCTTTCCAGCCCTCTCTAAGCAGTTTACAGAGTCAGCATATTGGCCCCAACAATCTGGGTCTTCATTTTACCTACCTTGGAAGGATGGAAGACTGAGTCAACCTTGAGCCTGGTGGGATTTGAACTGCCAAATTGCAGGCAGCTGATAGTCAGCAGAAGTGGCCTGTAGTACAGCACTCTAACTACTGCACCACTGAAGCTGTGCTAATGTGTAATAATTGATCTGGTTTTCAGATAGAATTTTCCCCACATCTATTTAAAGATGACTAAGTGCAATACAGCAGTGTTGGACTTTCAATATTGTAACCATACTTGAAGCTAGGGGTGGGATATGACAGGGTTAACTACCGGTTCGGGATTTATGAGCTTCCCTGCAGGCTGCAAGCTGTGTACCTGTAAATCAGCAGCAGCAGCTGCCTGAAGAGAAGCAGCCTTTGATACAACCCTCCTTTCCTGCTTTTCTAAGTGCAACTGTGCCTCGTTCGGCAGTTGAAGTTGAAAAATCATGAAATAAAGATCAGGTAAGAGCCGGGGTGGGTGGGTGGGCAAAAACATCAGCAGACATAGAACCAATTCTATGTCTGCTGCTCTTCAGAGCTACTGGTTCTACAGAGGTGGACAGAACCGGTAGAAACCCACCCCTGCTTGAAGCATGTTGGAAATGCTGCATGCAAGAGTTGCTCTGGGCTTTGAGCCATCGGATACATTCTGTTATGTGGATCAGGGTCTCCAATTGTGGCAACTTTACGACTTGTGGAGTTCAATTCCCAAAATTCCTCAGCCAGCCATAGGAGTTGTGATGTGCAGATGGAGTTTTCAGCACATGTTTGGGTTTCTTGATCAAGTACAATGCAAGAGAACTGCACTGCAGGTATATTTTACAATTCGTGAACAAACTGACTTTGCCCTTTGAAATAATTACCAGAATTCGTATATGTAGGCGGCTGCTATATTCACAATAAAAATTATGTCAATGTAAAAACTAGAACTGTCATCAATTTCTCAGAATCATTTTAGTAGTTAGTCCTCCAACATTAAAACTTCCTGCAGCATAACCTACAATCCAACTGAACAAATATAATTGTTAGGGAAATACGACATGCTTCAAAAGCTTGAGAAAAACAGCATATCCAAAGAGATAGATCCATAAACTTCTGAAGCTAAAAATCCAATAGCAGATAAAGCAAAGCAACTTCTCCAAAGAATATTTCCTTCCTTCCTTCCTTCCTTCCTTCCTTCCTTCCTTCCTTCCTTCCTCTGAATAGTATATGGGAACATAATGCTTTTTAATGCAGTTGAATAGCAAGAGAGAGAGAAGTTTCCTTGAAAAACTCAATAAAAAAATTAAAATCTATGGCATTTATGAGGATGCAGTGTGGCTTTCATAACTGAATGTAACCAGACAATAGACCTGGAAGATCAGCTATTAAACAAATGTTATTGCTGGGATATAGACCTGGCCTATAACAACACTTTCAGTAATAGATGGAGGCTAACCCAGTTGGACTCTAGCTTCATGTTTAGAAATATAGATTTTATACCCCTCATCTCTGCAGATGTTATAAAGTGCTTATCAAAAAACAAACATCATGAATAATAATTGATATTTTCTTTAAAAGCAGAAAAATCAGATACATTACATTGTAATTACCTTTGAAACACTACATAAGTCACTTCCACTAGCAACTTATAAAATCTCCTGGAGTTTTCCAACTATAGTTGTGTTAAAGTAACGATAATGAGAAGTCTTTATATCATTTTTATGATGTTTGAATGCCTCTATGAAGTAATTCAGTAATTGAGAAGCAACCTACATCAACACCTGACAAGCATAACAGCCAATTGAATATATAATTGAGCCTCGGTGGCGCAGTGGTTAAGTGCAGTACTACAGACTTCTGCTGCACCCAACTGCCTGTAATTCAGCAGATTGAATCTCATCAGGGTCAAGGTTGACTCAGCCTTCCATCCTTCCGAGGTGGGTAAAATGAGGACCCAGATTGTTGGGGGCAAAATGCTGACTCTGTAAACCGCTTAGAGAGAGCTGTAAATCACTGTAAAGTGGTATATAAGTCTAAGTGCTATTGCTATTGCTATAATGACTGTTTATATCATTGTATCTCTTGATATTTCATGATCCAGATTATTTTAATTTCAGGAATCAGCATTGCACTTTCTAAAATATAAATGTGTGGGTAAAGTGGATGCTTCTCTTTTCCTTTAAAAAGAAATGCAGGCAGGAACATAAACAAAGACAGGTTAGAAAGACTCTACTTTCTTGAAAAACCTGTTGGAAAGGCTGAATAAAAACAAGGGATTATCAAGACATATGCTTGTCTTCTGCAGCACATGAAAGAAAACAATTAAATATATGTTGGTTATTACTTGTAGATTAAAGAGCTATTTCATTGTTTCCAGCTGGAATAGCCCCAACATTAGGAGTCATGATTTGCTGCTAACTGTGGCTTTAGGGACTTACAAAGGGAATTTCATTATTGTTCTGTTACTTCAAAGCCGACTTTAAATTATTGATCTGTTAAGAGCAGCAACTGATCCTTTCCTTCATACCAATACATCCACTGTAATGTTTTGAACATGAATATTCCTTGCAATGAGCATTTTTTGGGGGGTCAATCATAAGGATGTGACCTATTTTAGTGGCTCTGAACATGTAGATTGTGTAATCTGAATACAAAAGATCGGCAGAAGTTTCAGTAAAAGGGACGTTGGTCCTACCTGAATGCTTCTTCTTGGGGATCCAAAGGGAGAATCCAGGATGGGTAGTCTCTGGTCTCCTAGCTCTGCAGACCGAGTTGAAAAACCGAGGACACACACCCTGGTAACTCGTCCTCTAACTGATAGCTTATTTGATACTGTGAAAAAAAGAACATGTCCTCCCTACTCTGACCTGACAGAATACAGGGTGGGACTGGATTCTCGCTTCGGCTCCCCGAGAAGAAGGTAGGACCAATGCCCCTTTTCCACTGAGCCGAAGGGAGAATCCAGAATGAGACATACCAAAGTTGGCTGATGGCTGTCCTACAGGTGGGAACTGGATTGGTCGGAGGTCCCCATTTCTACGTGAACACCCTGAAGGACTCGTCCCCCAAAGGATGCTTTTTCTGAAGCAAAGGAGTCAATTTTGTAATGTCTTAGGAACGGGGTCACCGATGACCAAGTCACAGCTCTACTGTCAGCTGGTGCTCCATTCAAAATCCAAGAAAGAAATACTTAGACTCCATTAATTAGAGAAAAGGTATCTTTTACTGGAAATCAAGTGGTAGCAACAAAAGAATTCTGAATCTGAGAAAATGGGTGCGTAAATCATATATACAAAGTGATGGCAATGTTCCCACCCCCAGTAGTTCAATTGGCTCATCCAATTAAAAGTTGTGTATATCATCATGTGGGCATCTCCAGGTGGTGATGAGGCCTTTGTCCGTTGACCTTGACATAGTTTGATACAGAGTTGCAGCTGTGCATAGTATAGGATAGAAGCCTAAGCAAGAATCTCCCCTCCCCCAGCTTATACAGTTCTGTTTTGTAACACCTCCAGCTCACTTCCCATAACCATATCCCCCTCCTCCCCGCATTAGTTATAACAGCCAAAAGATGCAAAGCAAAGGAAGAAAATCTTGAAGGCTGACATTCGGCCCTCCTGCAAAAGAGACATTAGTCCTATAAAAGATAAAAATAGAAGGTAACAGAAAATATACATGTAACACCATAATACTATTTTTTCGGATTTATCAGGATATTTAGTATGAAATGCCTTGATAAGCTTAGGAGCTCTAACGTCCTTCTCATTCACCCATTCAGACTGGGAAGGAGGAAAATGTTTCCAAACAATCAAAAATTGGAGTTGAACCCTTTGTTTTCAAGAATCCAAAATTTCTTTAACTTCAAAATGTTGTTCATCTTCAATTAGCAATGGCACAGGGGGATTGACCTGAGTTGGTCTCAAGTCAGAGGTATCTTCAGGTTTTAATAAACTAACATGGAAACAGGGTGGATCCATCAGAGGGGTTTAGGTAATTTCAGTTGGACTGCCACAGGGTTCACAATTTGTTCAATTGGGAAAGGTCCAACATACTTAGGTCCAAGCTTTTCTGACTTTTGTCAAAAAAGGAGCTGACGCCAGCTTCCATTTGGTTCTGGCATCCATCTGCCAATTTCTTAGCTAGAGGAGCATTCGTGCTTTTACAGATGAGGCCATGGCTCTGGAAGAAAATTTGGCTGATGTGAGGGTGGCATCAGCAGTCAATTGAGCTGCAGCTATAATCTTATTCAGGTCCTGATTCACCCTGAGGTTCTCAGGTGGGATTCTGCCCTGTAGCTGCCTCAGCCACCGCAAAGAGGCCCGTGTAAAAAAAGACAGTGTCATCGATGCTCTGATGGCCCAGGGGTCAGCTTGAATGAGCTTTCTGGAGCACCATCTCCTCCTTCCGGTCCTCCACCTTTAAAACATCCTCTGCATCAGGTGGGATGACCGATTAGGAAGCTAGGGCTACCACTGGGCCATCTATCTTTGGCACTTCAATAATGTCCAAAAGGTCCTTGTCCATATTAAATAAGGTAGACTCATACCCAGTGGGGCGAGTGTACCTCCCAGGGGACTCCCACTGCTTTTTAATCAGGTTCAAAAACATCGGGGGCACAGGTACAGTATCCACCACAAATGCTTTCTCAGTGAACAGGTAATCTTCCTGATCCTCTCCCTCTGTGGGAAGGTCCCGAGTGACTGTGTCCTTTTTTAGATGAGCTGTGCTCTTAGCCTTAACCAGCAGAATCTTGAAGAGAGCCAGCTAGAAAAGGTCCTTAAAGGAGGGGGGACCTGCTACCTCTGACTCCTCATCTGAAAAGTCCCTTTCTGGAAGGAGGTCCCTCTCGGAGCCATAAAATTGGCTTCTTTCTGAAGGGCTCATCTGAAGTAGATAGGCTGTTTTGCAGAAGCCTGCCCTTGCCCCTGAAGGACGCCTCTGTTAGTGTCCAAATAAGACAACTGGTGCAGCTGGTTGACTTCTGCCTGCAATTCCTATCTAATTGTTTGGGAGATCCAGGGTCTCATGAAGGATGGCATTTCTTGCATCTGGCTCTCCTCAGGCCGTAAGCCAGCTGCTGTAGGTGTAAAGGTGGCTGCAGGCACAATCTGGCTGGAGACTTGGCTTGCAGGTGCAGCAATCAAGATCCCCTGTAGCAGCTCAGAAAAATTGTGAGAGGTCTCTGCCCTGATGTGGAGGTTTCCCTGCAAATCCTGAGTACTTGAGCCACCAGGAGACCAGGCAGTCAAATACTGCCTATCTGCCAGTTGGTCTTGTTGCCTGTCATCTTGTGGAGGCAGAGGAAAGATGGCCCTGTTTCAGCCATACTGGCGTCTCTCACTGCCTCGTCAAACTGTTTATCTATGGCTTTTTGTCTACACCTGGCCTGCCTATCCTCAGCCCTAGATGTCTTTTAGGGGCTAGAGCCTTAGCTCTAATCCTAGCTGCTCCCTCCAGTCCAGCAGACCTGGGCTTAGGTGATACCTTTACAGCCTTCTCTCTACCCTCCTGAGGAACTGACAATTCTTGATCAGCTCTCCTGGCAGCCATTTTGAGCCCACCAAAATTAACTGGCACTGACAGGGAGAGAGAAAGGGAAAAAGAAGTAAAGAAAAATTATTTAGGCTAACACTGTCTGCTTCAGCCACAGTAGCTGTCCACCACTTCAGGAGGCTAGCGTGACCCAAAGTGGTGAGCTCAGCTCAGCTTCGCAATTCAAAACCCGAGTCAGAGGGGAAAAAAGGTGAAAAATGGCTGACTCTTTGAATTGCAGCAAGCATTGACAGGTCAGAGGCTTGTGAGCCTAGCGCTGGCTGCACCGCAATTATCTGGCAGACTGAAGTGTCTCGCAGCTGCCACGGTGCTCTTAGGACTGGTTAGGGGGTCAGGAGTTAATCCTGATGGCCAGAACCCCCACAAGGGACAATCCTGGAGATGAACTGCAAGATTGTCTCCAAAACATGAGAAATGGCCGCCGATGCCGAAAAGGGACAGAAGCGCTTAGCGGCAGTTGCAGTTAGCCCAAATCAAGGGAAAGTGGATTGGGAGAAGGTGAGTTGAATAAATGCTGACTCCTGCCCCCAGCCTGGGCCACATGGGCTCTCAGGGTCACCTCCACCCAAATTCCAACAAGAAACAGAAAAAAACCAGTCCACCAGCAAAGAAAGTTTAAGAAATAAAATAATAAGCAAGAAAACGTGAATTGGAAAAAAGGCGCGAAAAAATGAAAGTGCTAAACCGGCAAGCCGGCTAACTGTCAAACCTGCTCTAAGCCTCTCTAAGACAAAAAGCTTAATCCAGGGGGTGAATATTCTTCTACAATCCTAACTATTCAGAGCCCTTAAAGGGTGGTCTGAACACACTGAGACCAAGTGAAGAACTGGAGACCGTTACCAGGAGGTGTGTCCTCAGTTTTTCAACTCGGTCTGCAGAGCTAGGAGACTAGAGACTAACCCATCCTGGATTCTCCCTTCGGCTCAGTGGAGAATTAGAAATTATCTATTGTTGGGACAGAATTTATTATGAAAATTTTCTTTTCAGATGCACTGTTCCATGTCTCCCATTCACAGCTGAGAATATATTATATATGTTTAGAGGGCATATTATCCAAATGATAGGAAAAAATGAGAGATTGATATGTAAACTTTGATCCTGAGTTTTTAAGCAACATCTGGGAAAAGGAATTGTTTGTATCAGCATTGTTATCAAGAAAAATGCATGTGTGTGTTCTTGAGGTGACCAGGGCTTCAACTTCTCTTGAAGGAGATTTGACTTTACTTCGTAATAGAAATAGAAATAACACTTGGGCTTCACAGTGCTTTACAGCCCTCTCCAAGTGGTTTACAGAGTCAGCCTATTGCCCCCAACAATCTGGGTCCTCATTTTACCGACCTCGGAAGAAGGGAAGGCTGAGTCAACCTTGAGCTCCATCAGGATCAAACTTCAGACTGGTCAGAGTTAGGTGGCAATACTGCATTCTAACCACTCTGCCAGGTTGCATAATAGAAATAATGTTAGAGTGGTCCTAATGATGACTCCCTTTATATAAGCAGAAATGACCTGTCCCATCTATGAAGATGACAGATTCCTCCTCACTTGCAGCTCAAAAGGTTAAAAAAAAAAAACAACCTTCAAACAACCTTCAGGCTAAACTTCCACCTTCTATATGGTGCTGTTGAAAGTGACCATTCAGCTGGATTTGCTTACCTGTTTCTTGGCTGTATTTTGATATACTTTCAAAATAGCAAGAGTCTGTTAATATCTTACAATCAAGTAAAATTAGCTAATCTGGCTGTGCTTCCTGTCTGGTTTCCCTCCCAAGCACAACATCGATCTTGCAAGTCTGAAAGTACATTCCTCTCGCCCCCCCCCCCCTTCATCTCCTTTACAGCTCAAGAAATTAGGGAGGGTCTCTTCTGAGCACTTGCCCTA